TCCAAAGTCCCACTAGGAGTGAGCCTGAGTTAATGCCGTTTGTGGCCCCCAAACCAAACAAAGCAATTTAACTAAAAAAACCCAAAAGAATATAACTATACATATTTAGAATTTTTCTCCCAATTGCCTTTTCTATTCAGATATTACATTTTATATCATAAATATGTGTAAGGGCTGGAGCGATAGCACAGCAGTAGGGCATTTGCCTTGTGCATGGCCTGCCTGGCCGAACGGGTTTTGACTCCCCCACCCCTCCCGGAGAGCCTGGCAAGCTACTGAGAGTATCTCGCAAAACCTGGCAAGCTACCCGTGATGTATTCGATATGACAAACACAATAACAAGAAGTCTCATGATGGAGACATTACTGGGCCCGCTCGAGCAAATCAATGAACAACTGGAGGACAGTGCAGTGCTAATGTAATTCTCAAAACACTTTTCTGATAAGTATTAAAAGAATGTATTCAGTGCCCTCAAACCGTAAATTTTGTTTATTTAGTGAGTGATGATGTTCTGCCTAGAAAGGAATTGTTTTAAGTATGAGCATTCAAGTACACACAAACCGTACTTTATTTATTTTTTAATTTTTTAAATTCATTTTTTCTTTTAATTTTTTATTAAGTGAATCACCATGAGGTACAGTTATAGACTTACAAACTTCCATGCTTGCTTTTCAGTCATACAATGATCAAGTACCTATCCCTCCACCAGTGTCCATTCTCCACCACCAATGATCCCAGTATCCCTCTCCCCCAACCCCTCCGCCACCTTTGTGGCAGGGCATTCCCTTTTGTTCTCTCTCTCTCCTTTGGCATATACAACACTTACTTTAAAGAAGACTAAAATCACTTTTCCAAGTAAATACCATGTACAACAGGTGATGAGAGATCTGATAAACAGTTCAGTAACAAAGAAGAGAAGGTAAGGGTTTGCATACTTTTCGCATAAAAAGAAAGACAGTTCATCCTTGAAGTTAGTGTATGCTGTTTCTTTTTTATATAAAATGAATGACATGGGAGTCTCCCGGTGGACGATTCCACAATGAAATAGACCACATCATATTCAATCGACAGTTTTGCCTGACCGATGTCGCTGTTGTCCCAAAATTTCGAATGGAATCGGACAACTGTCTCCTTCGTGCAAAATTCTACTTCACAGAGCGGGGAGAAAGGGCTGCAAAGTTCAAAAAGAGAACTCCCAGAACGACCACCAACTGGGAACTCTTTGGCACTATTGCAGCAACATGGGAAGATGCCATTGTTGACAACATTGACAAGGAATACGATCGACTGGTTCAGCACCTCCATGAATGTGCAAGGAACGCCAAGAGAGAGATAGCCACAAAAAAGCGCCTGTCATCGAAAACTCTTGAGCTAATTCGCCAGCGTGGTTTGGCTTATGCCTCAGGCAACCGCAAGCTAACTTCCCAGCTCGCAAAGCAGTGCAGAGATGCGATCAAGGAAGACCTCAAAGAGAGAAGAGCAGAAGTACTGGTAGATGCAGCAGAAGTTGGGAAAAGTATTCGTAACGCCCGCCTGTCCTTCGACAACTACAAGACCAAGATGATTGCCCTCCAACGTCCTGATGGATCCATCACATCCCCCAGAACGGCAATGGAGAAGATTATCCATGACTTCTACTCAAATCTCTTTGATAGCCATGTCCACTTGCCGACATACCAAATTCCACAGGATGGATATGTCATTCCCAACGTTCTCCCTTCCGAAATCCGACACGCCATTTCGTTGGTAAAGAAGCAAACAGCATCCGGCCCAGAAAAGGTCAGACCTGAACACCTGAAGAACCTGCCATCAGTACTCATCAATACACTGGCTCGGCTCTTCATTCGCTACCTGTCTGAATGCAAGGTTCCGTCCCAATGGAAAACCAGCAGGACCGTACTACTGTTCAAGAAGGGAGACATCCACGACATTGGCAAATCTCGCCCAATCTGCCTATTGTCTGTCATCTACAAGTTGTTCACTCGAGTCATCCTAAATAGGAGTGGAAGAACACTAGATGAAGGACAACCATGCGAGCAAGCTGGGTTCCGCAAAGGATTCAGCACCATCGACCATATCCACACGATAACCAAGCTCATTGAGGTTTCTCGGGAGTTCAAGATGCCGCTCTGCTTAACGTTCATTGATTTAAAGAAGGCCTTTGATTCTGTTGAGACGGAAGCAGTCATTGAAGCCCTAGCCAATCAGGCATTCAAGCCCAATACATCAAGATCCTCCGTGAGCTGTATTGCGGATTCACTACCAGGATCTCACCATTCTACAAAGAAGTGATCGTTGATGTCAAGAGAGGGGTTCGGCAGGGTGATACCTCTTCAGTGCCACCCTCGAGAACATCATGCGACAACTGGATTGGGAAGGAATGGGAGTGAAGATAGATGGTCGGCAACTACACCACCTCCGCTTTGCTGATGACATTGTTTTAATAACACCAAACATCAGCCAAGCGGCACAAATGCTGGCCGACTTTGACCGTGAGTGTGGAAAGGTAGGACTACAGCTGAATCTTACGAAGACAATGTTTATGAGAAACAGCCTTGTTCCTGACGCCCCATTAGCTCTCAACAGAACAACCATCTCTGAATGCAACAGCTATGTGTACCTAGGTCGAGAGGTCAACATGACAAATGACCTGGCACTCGAGCTGCGCAGGAGGAAGAGAGCAGCTTGGAATGCCTTCAACAAGGTTGAAGAAATAGCTAAGAGGACGAAGAATCTCCATCCTTGGGCACATCTCTTTGATTCCACTGTTCTTCCTGCATTAACATATGCCTCAGAGACCTGGGCCCTACGCAAACAGGATGAGAATGCTATTCAGGTCTCCCAAAGAAGACTAGAAAGAACTATGCTTGGAATATCACGTTTCACTCAAATGAGAGAAAAAAATCCAGAGTTCCGACATCTGTCGATGATCAAGAATCAGGGACGCTGTCTCATTTGCCAAGGTGTCAAAAGTCAGATGGGCTGGTCACGTAATGAGATTTAAAGACGACTGCTGGACTAGAGCTGTTACAGACTGGATTCCACGGGATGTCAAAAGACCGCGTGGCCGCCCACCTACCAGATGGTCAGACTTCTTCGTCAAGATCATGAACGATCGGTTTGAGGCTTTTCATGTTCCCAGAGCGAACAGATGCCATTGGGCTACACTAGCACGCGACAGGGACAAATTGAGACATTACTGGCGCCCGCTCGAGGAAATTGACGACTAACGGGAAGTTAAGTGATTAAGTGATTAAGTGATAAAATGAATGAACAGTGTAAGAAAATATCTCTGCACTTGAAATACTCAGTGACAGTCTTATAATGTAAATAGTTGAGATATGGAGTGAAACCATCCAATTCTTGTAATCTGCCTTCTCAAAAGCTCAAGTCTTAGGGCCAGGGAGAGAACTTGAATGGCCTCAGTGCATGCTTTTTAAGTAAGGAGCCCCAAGTTTGGTCCATTGGCACTGCATCAACACCAGCACCGATGGAACCAACCCGTGAGCAGTCAGCGGGGAGTATCCCCCTGTGCTATTGGGTGCCACCTGTTCCTCAGCCCCCAAGATAGTATTGAAGTAGCTAGAAGTAATTTTATTTTACTTGTTAAAAGATACATGTTTTCAAGACCTATAGGCATAAAGCTGAACCCTAGAAATTAATTAAAATACATGACAGATTCAGGAGTGTCCTAACACAGCACAGGAGAAATAATGGGGGGAAATACCTATTTCTAAGTAAGAGTTAAGTTCCTCTCCAAACTGCACTGGAGCACTGTCCTCCCATTGTTCATCGATTTGCTCGAGTGGGCACCAGTAACGTCTCACAACAAATTGTGAGACTTGTTGTTACTGTTTTTGGCATAACAAATATAACACGGGTAGCTTGCCAGGCTTTGCTGAGTGGGTTCTCTAAGAGGGGCGGAGGAATTGAACCTGGTTGGCTGTGTGCAAGGCAAACGCCCTACCCACTGTGCTATGAAGCAAAGATAAATAAAATTTAATTGGTATAATAGTGGGTCTATAAAATTATTAAATGAAATTTTAGAGGGGGAGTTACATAGTTTTCAAAGTTCAAGGATTAATTAAGTATATGTTAGAAGCTCAAGTTTATGTTCTGTTTTTCTTATAAAATCCTTTTCATTGTTGTTGTTTGGGGGCCAATCCTGCTTAGGGGTTACTTGTGGCTCTGCACTCAGGAATTAGTCCTGGTGGCATTTTGGGGACCATATGGGATGAAGGAGATCCAACCCAGATTGATCCCATGCAAGGCAAATGCCCTGCCTTCTGTACTACAGTTATATCCTCTTGTAATATCTTAAATATCTTAAATATCTTAAATAGTTTAAAGTATATTATGTTTCTATGGATCTTTCATAGAATCTGTCAATTTCATGAGAGAATTGATCACTAAATACCAGAAAAATATCCTACAAATATGTCGATCTGGCAAGAGAGACAGCAACCATTCTAAGGTGCTTGGCTTCACACTGGGAGCCTTTGTTCATCACCACATTGTATCTGATCCTTCAGGCACGGACAGGAGTGATTCCTGAACACAGAACCCGGGTATAAGCCCCAGACACAGCTGGGGATAGCCCCCAGGCCACAGAAGTAAATATGAAGACATGCCATTTACTTATTTTTAATTTTTTAAATTTCTGTTTGGGAGTCTTGCATGAAAGTACTTGGGAGATACTTCTTGCTGGGTGCTCAGAGGTTGCCCTTGGCAGTCTTTGGGGACCCATGTAGTATCAAGGATCAAATTTAGATTTTTCATATGCAAAACATGCACTGCAACTCTTTGGACTATCTCTCCAGCCCCTTTCATTTTTAGTAAATTGAATGCCATTTACTATCTGAGGAATCTGCTGATATGAAGTGATTATAATATGTGTTTTAGTTGTTATGAAAGTGAGTGTAACATATGTCGTAGACTTTGTTGAAGACCCTGAAAAATAAAATCTACAGAATACCTTTTTCGGTTTTGTTATGTTTCAGTATTTGGAAATGATGGATTTTATGTTATACTGAAAGGCCTGGCTCGACTGCAAAAAGATCCCTATAAACATTTGGTTGAAGACATTAAGTCAGCAACTTCTTTAATGTCTTCAAATTGCTACAGCTTTGTTTACAATCAAGACTTCAAAAATACTTCAATTACTGACTTGTGCGTATCTTCAAAATGCTTAAAGGTGAGAAATAAATGTTTATTTTTCCAAAATAATGAGGTAATATTTGAAATTTTTAATCTTTTTTTTTCACATTCTTAAATCCACATTTCTTTGGTTCTGAAATAGTCTAAATACTGTGTCTTAAATAATACTATTATATTAAATTTGCTTAAAACTTCTTAGAACAAATTTTAAGACATAGAATGATTGAACTCATTTGTGGGATGTAAAAAAACATCAATATGAGACTAATACTAAAGACAGTAGAAACAAGGGCCAGAAGGATTGGTCCATGGGAGAAAACCTGTTTCAAGTGCTGGGGGAGAAGGCAGTTGGGAGAGAAAAGAAACCACTGTGACTAAGAGAGTTGGAAATGATCACACTCTGGATAAGAACTGTGTACTGAAAGTAGGTAAAGGAACAAACATAATAACCTCTCAGTATCTGCATTGCAAACCATAATGTCCAAAGGAAGGAAAGGGGAGAGAGAGAGAGAGAGAGAGAGAGAGAGAGAGAGAGAGAGAGAGAGAGAGAGAGAGAGAGAGAGAGAGAATACCTGCTGTAGACAGGTAGAGGAGAGGGGATATAGGAAGGAATCAGGGAACGCTGATGCTGGGAAATGTACACTGGTGCCGGAATGGGTGTTGGAATATTGGATGACTGAAACCTGATCATGAACAGCCTTGCAACTGCATATCACAGTGATCTATAAAAAAAAATTAATGAGAACTACCTTTAACGACATAGTACTGACATAGTACTGACAAGGATTGTGTGTCATGCTTGGTGACGGACTAATTTGATAAAAAGCAAAGGAGCACATGAATTCACAGAGACGGAGATCATAAAATAGGGCTTCAATTGTGTTCCCGTCATCCTGCTTACAATCTCGAGAAAAAAAGTAGCTGATGTTCACAAAGCAAATTTTATGATTCCTAATTTTTTGTGCAAATATTTCAAACTTTACCTATTAAAGCTCTGAAGGAATAGGGAAACTTACCTTTATAACAGAAGGCTGCCAATACCCTTTATAACTTAAATATCTATTATTTATCTAGTCTTTTATTTATATATTATATAATTATATATTATATAAAAAACTCATATGTTATTTATAACCTGCAATAGAAAACAAATTGTCTACTGTTGCCTTTTCGGCAGATCTGAGTGCTTGGGTAGAATCCCAAATAATAATGGTGGGTATGGTGTCAAAATATTGAATGTGATCAAAGTAGAGAGAGAGTAATGTGGAAAACATCTGCCCACAGGTAGGGGGAGGATGTGGAATTGAGGGTATACTGGGGGTTTTGGAGGTAAAAAAATGGGCACAGTGAAGGGATGGGTGTTTCATTGTATGACCGAGATTTAATCCCAAAAGTTTTGTAACTGCTCTCACGGTGATTCAATAAATAAAATTATGAAAAAAGGGGAAAAAAAGGAAGGTGGAATTCATGCCCATTTCAATCATCCTAATTAGTGGATGTATAAACAGCAATACTCCTAGAAAAAAAAAAGAATTTCTACTTCCACATGCCCAGTTGCAAACAGTCCCTTTCTCTTCATCCCTCCCTGACCAGGATATCAGGGATACTGGTTCTTGGGGTGGCTACATCGGTAAACTTGTTGTTTTATGTTTTTCTGAAAGGGAGATATTTGAATATGGGGAAGCATCCTCCACCCAGATCCTCCAAATTCCAGTAGGCGGGGGTCACACCCACCAACTGGCCTCCTGGTGCCATGTAATCCCATCAACGGCCAAGACCCAGAGATTATAAAACCCAGATCCCGGAGGGAGAACAGTGCAGTCTCCTGCCCCCGTGCCTGGCTGTCCTCGCTGGGGCTCCTTGGAGGAGAGTGGGTTGAGTTTCCCTCCCCGCCCCGACCAGGGCTCTGGCGACCGAAGACCTCCAGAACCAGCCACCACCATGCTGAGACCACTCTCCACACACATGAAGATACCGGCAGAGGAACAAAGTCATGCAGGTTCTGGGGCTGAGATCTCCAAGCCTGCTCGGATCGGGGCTGAGCATCCTCCACCCAGATCCTCCATATTCCAGTAGGCAGGGGTCACACCCACCAACTGGTCCTCTGGCGCTGTGTAATCCCATCAACAGCCAAGACCCAGAGACTATAAAACCCAGATCCTGGAAGTGACATCTTATTATTTCATGCTTACTTTGGACAAACTGGCAAGCTACCAAATGTAACCTGCCCACACGGCAGAGTCTGGCAAGCTCCCCGTGGTGTACCCAATATGCCAAATACCAGTAACAATGATGGGTCTCATTCTCCTAACCCTGAAATAGCCTTGAATCTCAGGGCTAGGATGAAGAAGACGTTACTGGGGCCTGCTCGAGGCAATCGACGAACAACAGGATGGTCGTCGTCGTGATTATCGATTAATTACATAATACAAAATATAATATATTTTAATTTAACATATTAAAATCCTGGACACAGAATAAAATTGTTTGTGTCATATAAATCCTTTTTTATTTCCAGATGAAATAGAATTTTTTCTCTTAAGACACATTTTGATTTGGTAAAATCTGTCATTGATTGAACATATATATTTTTGCCTTGTGACTGTTGTCACATGTATACACAAAGTAGTTTTGACAAGATAATTTTTGTTGTAAAGTCAGAAAGTAAAGTCACTTGCCTTAGACTCAACCACTGGGATTTGATCCCTGAGCACTACCAGGAGTGATCCCTGAGCACAGAGCTAGGAGAAAGCCCTGAGCATTGCCAGTTGGGACCTAAAACATAAAAGCAAAACAAAAGATAGGTTTTAAAAGAAAATGTTAGAAAGAAAATCAAAATGGCAAGGAGAAGTCACCTCACACCCATGATAATGCCTAAATGACCAACCCCAGAGTCAGCGATATTTCTCCAGAGGTAGGGTATAGGCCTGGTATTGATTTCTCTGGGCTCAGTTCCTGGCACTGCTGTGACTGTGGAACCCTAATGGCCACAACATACTCTGAGTCAAGCACCAACTTTGTTCCACATTTCCAGGTTAAGACTCATAACATAGTGGCCCCACCACACACTTCTGTCTGCCACAGCAACCGGTGGCTGTGGGCCTTAGGGAAAGTAAGTTGAAAATAATTAAAATTTCTGAAATAGCAAGTGCTGGTATGGCTCCCCTGGAAGAAAGGGGAGCCCTGATACATTGCTAGTGGACACATAAACTGGGCCAGGTTCTGTGGAAAGTAGTACGAATATTTTTCAAAGAATATTTTTGGAGTATGGCCCCAAACTAATTTTTTAAATTACTTTCAAAATAAATCAAAAGAAATTACCTTTAATTAGATGCAAAAAATTAAATTGACTTGTTTGGTGAAATATGTAATTCTTCTATTGAGTGCTATGCTGTGTACATACAATGTTGAATTCATTAGAAAACTATTGTTAGAATTATCTATAGAAATGTGCTATTCATTAACATAAATTGCCCAGAAAGATAAAGCCAGACAAAGAGTATTTCAAAAAAAACAAGCCGTGTTCAGGAGAAATTTTTTTAAAATTATAGTCTTGGCAACATGGTACAGTAGTATTAATGTTTATGATTTAACGTATGCAATCATTCTACCTAACCTCTACCATCTTGCTGTTACTTTTTATTCACCGTTGCATTCCCCTCAGTAGATAGTAGGGTGTTGAATGCATGTTAAAGGTATACTATACGTTCCCTTGTTTAGTTTCTCAACAAAACACAGCTGATCGAGATCATCTAGTATTTTTCCTTTTCTTCTGACTCATTGTTCTTAAATGATATCCCCTGCACCCCATTTTCACCCAAGTTGAAAGAAGCTGAAAGTTTCTTTCATTTTTATAGCAATGTGAAGTTCACTTATGTATGCATATTATGACTTCTTTATTGTTATTTTCTAATTGCATAGTTTCCATGTGCGGGCTGCTGTAATAAGCATTTTCATGAATATAGATAAGCATAATTTTTTTAATTAATGATTTTGCATTTTGGGCTAGATACTAAGAAGAGTTATCACAGGATCACAAGAAACTCTATCTTAGTTTTCTAAAGAATTCTCCTGAAGGTTTTCACAAGGTTGAGCCAATAAACATCCTTATCAACAGTAAAAGAGGGTCCCTTGTTCTCATACCCCCTTCACTGTTTGAATCTAGCTTGAGGCAGTTTTGAGTAATTTCCACATATTGGAGTAAGGAAATGGGCTCCCTATATGCTCAGAGAAGAGGCCAAATTAGAACTTGACAGAGTTCTCAGAAGTCAAAGTCGAGAAAAAATTTCCTAAAGCGTGAGATGATTAAATTTCCTTCATAGATGGGGCTCCTTCCTTTTACAATGAGATCTTTGCATGGGATCCTCTTAATTTTTTTTTTTTGCTTGATTGTATCTTGTGTCCATGTGAGCTCTTGTTAAATGATTTGACAGGCGGGTGAAAGCAGATTTTCATTAAGCAATACAATTTCCCAAAATGTTCACATATTTAACCTGACAGAAAAAAAAATGTGTCCTTGAGTCATTTATCTCTTTCTCTTTAAAAAGGAGTACAGTTGTGCTATAAAAAGCATTTTTTCATGAACATAGATAAGCATGATTTTTTTAAATTAATTATTTTGCATTTTGGGCTAAATACTAAGAATTATCACAGGATCACAAAAAGTTCAATCTTAGTTTTCTAAAGAGTTGGCTACTGTATGCAACTTTTGTTTTAATAGGCGGGTTGCTTTGTTTATTCAGTAAATATTCTTGTTTTTTCTCAATAGTACAAATAATAAAATAAAAAGTAATAAATCTCCTATCCTCCTGCCCTCACAAATATCGAGAAAGTGATATGCAATGGTGACACAGAGTTGAAAGTCCATCTGGGAAACTTGAGGATGTCGCTCTGATCCAACAGGACCGGCTCTGGAAGGCTTCAGATGCACGTGGGAGCTGCCATATGGCTGATGTTGAAAGTGGCTCTTCCTTTCCTATGTGATATAACTTTTAGAATCACAAATAATAGGTAATATTATAATAATACCTATTATAA